AAATTACATTGATAAAGAAAACGTACATGTTCCTTTTTTGAGATAAAGTAATCCAAAATTAATGTAAAATAGTTAATTTCTTACAGAAGTAACTAAGTAATGTAACTAATTACTTTTTCAAAGTAACTTGACCAACACTGGTCGGAAGTAGGATTTGAACCACCAACCTCCCACTCAGAGGCCAAACGCTCTATCAACTGTTTTAAACAGGTGAAGACACAACACTCACAGAACAGCTGTGCAGGTGATCCCCAACACACAGGTTTTTGTAAGGGTCAGAATGACCATCAAACGTTCCCTTTATGCACAGCTCACCTATGAATTAGTGAGAGCCAGCGGGGGTGCCAGGGGCCACAGGGGGCTGCTTCTTTCATGTGCTTTGAAAATAGTGGGAGGCAAATGTTCTGAGCTGCATGAGTAAACACGGACCATGCCGATGTGTAAAATGCTACAAATATTTTCATCTGCATGCAAGAAAATATCTTCTGAAATTGAACACATTCAGGACATACCAAGCCAGACTCGGGCTGGGGAAAATGGCAGAAATATCCAGTCATGGTGGGAATGTTTGTATTCTTCCTTTTGTGGATAAAATGGTTTTAATTTTGTGTATTAATTTGGTAAATGTTGAGTCTAAAAAGGCAATAGTCCTTAGTCCTTCAGTAAACCTGCTTTAGTCTTCAGTAGACCTGCTTTAGTCTTGCTTTTGTCATGCTTTAGACCTGATTTAGTCCAGCTTTAATCCTGCTTTAGTTCTGCTTTAGACCTGCTTTATGAGCTAAAACATTTCGATTTGTTAATTCTTGCCAGTTTTAAGCTGACATCAGACACACTTCTGCACACTAGGGGAGCGTTTATGATCATAGAATAATCTGTCTCCATTTTGGTCTAGTTTTAGCACTTGATTTTTCTAATCTGCATCACCACGTCATACATATTTGACTCGACCTCACATCACATTGTCATCGCTCCAAAGGCTGCAGCCTGAGAGAGAAAACACGGAGGAGCAGTATGTTCAGAAGACATCGCATCATCAATGTTTTAGGAGAAATTACTTTGAGATTAAAATGACAAAGTGAAAGTGTAATGTGCCTGCCATGTTTTATAGATGTTTAAGGAGCGGCGTGTTCTAAGATGAGGCTAAGTGCTGCTGTCACATCCACGCAACTCCTCGTGCACACGCCTTGTGCACACACATAGCACATGTGCTGCTGAAGCTCACACAGCATGACACCATTATGGTAATATAGGAATATTTACAATACATTGAGATATTCTTTAAATTCTATATGAATTTGACATACATATATATATATATATATATATATATATATATATATATATATATATATATCTGCAGTTCATCCAGAGGGATCATGGGCCTCTTGGCTGCATCTCTGATCAGTCTTCTCCTTGTTTGAGATGAAAGTTTGGAGGGACGGCCGGGTCTTGGTAGATTTGCAGTGGTCTGATACTCCTTCCATTTCAATATAGTTGCTTGCACAGTGCTCCTTGAGATGTTTAAAGCTTAGGAAATCTTTTTGTATCCAAATCCGGCTTTAAACTTCTCCACAACAGTATCTCGGACCTGCCTGGTGTGTTCCTTTGTCTTCATGGTTCTCTCTGCGCTTTAAACAGAACCCTGAGACTATCAAAGAGCAGGTGCATTTATACGGAGACTTGATTACACACAGGTGCATTCTATTTATCATCATCAGTCATTTAGGACAACATTGGATCATTCAAAGATCCTCACTGAACTTCTGGACTGAGTTTGCTGCACTGAAAGTAAAGGGGCCGAATAATATTGCACGCCCCACTTTTCAGTTTTTTATTTGTTAAAAAAGTTCAAATTATCCAATAAATTTCGTTCCACTTCACGATTGTGTCCCACTTGTTGTTGATTCAGGACAAAAAATACATTTTTTATATATTTGTTTGAAGCCTGAAATGTGGCAAAATGTTGAATGGGGCCGAATACTTTCGCAATGCACTGTAGGAGAAGTGTTGTGCGTGAACGAGTTCAAAAGAACGCGTTCATTGAACACGCTCATTTTTTCGTGAACATTGAACTGAACGCAACACATTTTTAAAAAAAGAACTTGAACGTGAATTAGTTCATTTTATGTGTCATGAACGGCAGACATCACTATGAACGTTGGAATCTGTTTTCTCTTTTAAAACGCAACGAGAAAAAGTTCACGTGACTAGGCACTTGGCAAAAAGGGGCGGAGAAAGAAAAAAAACTCATATCAAGGCTTTTTTGAAAGCGAGTCAATATTGACATTACGCGAATAATAAAATTATATCAGGAAAAAAATATTTTTATTTTAATACCTGGAAAAAAATCACACACATTTGGCGATAATCATTGTCTTTAATGATTCCATTCACCCTCATGGAGATAACGGAGACGGAGATGAAACGGACGCGTTTGGACGGATAGTAGTCCGTTTTACGCGCCCGGTGGAGTCGGGGCCTTAGTTTCAGCTACTTTTGCCTGAATTACTGCAGCAATACAGCGTGGCATGGAGTCGACCAGTCTGTTGCACCCCTCAGGTGTAATGAGAGCCCAGGTTGATTAATAGTGGCCTTCAGCATTGTTGGGTCTGGCATCTCGCATCTTCCGCATCACAATACAATAATAGCTTTTCTACGGGATTAAGGTCAGGAGAGTTTGCAGGCCAATCAAGAACAGAGATACTATGGTCTTGGTGTGCAGATGCCAAGTCATGTTGGAAAATCTTCACCTCCATAAAGTTGGTCAGCTGCAGGAAGCATAAAGTGCTCTAAAACTTCATGGTTTAGAGCACTGCTGCATTGACCCTGGACCTCAGGAAACACAGTGGACCAACACCAGCAGATGACATGGCAGCCAGACCACTACTGACTGTAGAAATTTTACACTGGCAACGTGGATTATGTGCCTCTCCTGTCTTCCTCCAGACTATGCGACCTTGAATTCCAAAGGAGATACACATTGTACTTTAATCTGAAAACATAACTTTGGACAGCTCAGCAGCACCTTCAAACAAGAT